CCCGCCCACATGTGCTAGTGGAGAGAGGATGGCCAGGGGCCAAGGTGATGAGTGCATTTTGAGTGCTAAATGCCCAGGTAATTAGGGGCACCGCTTGTGGCTTCATAGAAACCCGTATTTCCATCCTCTTTCTCCACTTTATTTCTCTCTCCCTTTATTTCAGAGAGGAAAGGAGAGGGAGAGAGAAATAGAAACACCGATGATGAGAAAGAATCATTGATTGGCTGCCTCCTGCATGGCCCTGCCCCCCCCCCCTTATGGGGATTGAGCCGACAACCCTGGACCAAACCCAGGACCCTTCATGCCGCAGGCCGACACTCTATCCACGGAGCCAAACCGGCTGGGGCCTCTTTCTCCACTTCTTAGCAGGATTCAGATGCCTCGGTCGCTGGTACAGAAAGCAGGTGGCAAAGGACAGGCTACGGGCAGGAGCCAGGAGAGAGACGGGCAGGTGCTGCCCTCCCAGGCTCCGGTGGCCTGTCTCTGTCCCTCTCTGAAATGCAGGCTCTGCCTCTGAGAAATGAGGAAGTGAGCAAGTCTCCCAGGGCAGCCCAGGCGGTTGTGATGGAGAGCAGGGCCCGAGGTTCCTCTCCTGTGTGCACCGAAACCTCCTCACCTTATTGTCGGGGCTTCCTCTGGGCTCTGCAGCTCTTCCTTACTAGAAAGAGGAAATTTCGACATCAGCCTAAACCAGGAACGGGCGTGGCAGGTCCCGCTCCGGAGGGGCCGCTGCCCCTGGCGTCTGGGGTGAGCTGGAAGGGCAGAGGGTGAGGCCGAGCCTCCCACCCCGGGGCCCCAAGCCCAGCACCCGGATTTCAAGCTGGAAGTGATGATACAGGAGGGCTTGTTCCCTGCACCCTGCACCATCTCCTGCCCTCGGGCGGCTGGAGCAAACCCTCACCTGCCTGTGGCTACTGGTTCCAGAGCTGGGAGGAGCCTGGGGAGGGAGCCCTCAGGGCCGGAGGCCCCCCTCAATCAAGTCCCTGGAAATATAACCGTGCTTTGAATATCACCTGGATGATGGAGATGGTCGTCTTTCTTTCAGCTGGAAGAAGAAATGATGCAATTACTTATATGCTTGCTTTCTCTGCACGTACCAGGTGTGGTTCCGCCTGTAATAAGGACAAGGATGGCCCTAATCTGTTTGGCTCAGTGGATAGAGCCTCGGCCTGCAGACTGAAGGTCCCAGGTTCAATTCCTGGTCAGAGCACATGCCTAGGTTGCAGGCTCGATCCCCAGTAGGGGGTGTGCAGGAGGCAGCTGATCAATGATTCTCTGTCGTCATTGATGTTTCTATCTCTCTCTCCCTCTCCCTTCCTCTCTGAAATCAATAAAAATACATAAAATAAAATAATAAAGACAAGGATGGATGTAATGTGGGGACCACAGAAACCTGGATGCTATGGACAAAATTGGGTTTCCTCCCCCACATTCATATGTTGAAGCCTTAACCCTCAACGGGATTGTTCTTTCAGAAGGAGTGACATTAAAGGAGCCCATGAGGGTGGCCTCCTAAAACTGAGGGCCTGATAAGAAAAGGAAGAGAGGACACAGACACTGAGGGGGTGGGGGGGGGGGCTTGCCCAGGATGGGAATGGCTGAGAGCAGGGTGTCAATCGGGGGAAAAGGAGACCTATGTAAAACTTTAGACAATTAAAAAAAAAAAAGCTCAGAGGCAAATCTGACAAGAATAAAAAAGAAAAGAAAGCAAAGGAAGAGAAAGTGAGAAAGTGATCTTCCATTTCTCTCCCCACATGTAATAATCTATAATAATAAAAGGCTAATATGCTAATTAGACCAGACAGCCAAATGACCTTCTGCATGAAGCCATGGTGGCAGGGGCTAAGGCAGAGGCAGTTAGGGGCGATCAGGCATCAGGCAGGCAGGCAGGCAAGCAGTTAGGAGCCAGCAGTCCCGGATTGTGAGAGGGATGTCCGACTGCCAGTTTAGGCCTGATCAACAGTTTGACATCCCCTGAGGGGTCCTGGATTGTGAGAGGGTGCAGGCCGGCCTGAGGGAACCCCACCCCCCAAACCCATGCACGAATTTTGTGCACTGGGCCTCTAGTAATAATAATAAAACATAGGCCATGTGAGGCCCAGAGATGGGCTCACACCAGGAACCCAATCTGCTGGCATTTGACCCTGGGCCTCCCAGCCTCCAAAGCCGTGAGAAACACAGTTCCATCCTTTGAGCTGCGGGTCCTAGGATGCTGTCACAGAGCCTGGAGCCTGTGCTGTCTGAGTTACCTGTCCGCCCTCGGAATCACACAAACAAGCCCGTGCAATCCTTCCCTGGGTGCCAGGCTCGCTCCCTCCTGTCACTGCAGAGCCTCCTCACGCTGCTCCCCCCCCCCCCCACTCCTCCGGTGCAGCCCAGGGGCCTGCATGGTGAAGGCCACTCCCCCCCTAAACTCACACACTGCTGTGCACATAGTCTGTTCCATGTGAACTGCAAGTGCAGCCTTTTCTGTGACCCGGGGAGGGAGGGGGGGAGGACTAGTAGGTGATGCAAACATCAGAGGCCATGCCCTGAGCCCTGCCAGTCCTCCAGACTGGAGACCTGGGAGCTCACCCGCTGGCATGGCACCTGCCAGGCTTTCCTGCCTCGGGGGCGGAGCGAGAGAAGGCTGGGG